TCTTATTCAAGCGATTTTAAAATCCAACATCGCGATTCTTATTCAAGCGATTTTAAAATCGAACATCGCGATTCTTATTCATCCTATTTTAAAATCGAACATCGCGATTCTTATTCACGCACTCTTAAAATCCAACATCGCGATTCTTATTCACACGATCTTAAAATCCTATATCGCCTTATTCACGCGATTTTAAAATTCGGCATCGCGATTTTAAAATCAAGCATAGCGATTCTTATTCACGCGATTTTGAAATCCAACATCGCGATTCTTAATCTAAGGCCTCTAAAAATTGTGTGAGAAATGAACTTTCTTGTCCTATCAACACTGATGATCAAAAGTCTGCAAAACACAGTTTACAGATCAGTCATGTTAATAAAAGACCATCGAAAAAACAATGAACTGATGAGAAAGTCCATAAAGGCCCTTTGACCATTAAAGAAATGTTTTTTAAAATGATGTGATACATAAAATCGTGCTTATGCATAATTACTCAAAGTTATCTAAATTATTAAAAAAAATCATTTTAATCAAGATTTTATTTAAGAACATAATTACCATTTATTTTTATTTATTTGAATAGATAATAATGTAATCATTATCAGATTGGCTATTGAATTCATATAATTTTTTCTTTTGCACGTTTAGTGCTACAGTTATAAACTTCCTCTTTTTTGTGTTTTTGTCAATCACATCCCTGTAGATAATAAGGAATATAGATTAGAAATTATTTTTTTTCTTTTTTTTTAAACTAGCCATTTAATTACTTATCATTTACTTAAAGAGATACTACATCTTCAATGTTACTTGTTTGGATTACAAGAATACTGCAAATCAATTGCTAATTTGTTAAATTTAACACAATCAAATTTATCAATGAGAGAAGAAGTCAGACAAACTATAGCATTTTGATAATAAGGAATATAGATTAGAAATTATTTTTTTTCTTTTTTTAAAACTAGCCATTTAATTACTTATCATTTACTGCTAGCATTAACTATTATTGTTTACCTATTATTGTATCTTTTATGCTCAATATGGGTAAAAACTGATTTTTTTTCACAAAAGATAATTTTTTTTCACTGTTATATTTAAAATGTTCTTTTCTTTCTTAACTTATTAAGTATATATTGATTACATTTATAATTTTTTTTTAATTGATCAAGCATGTCTTCCAGTTTTGTACACAAATATCTATACTGCATAATATTTTTTCAAAATCAGGCTGCACTATGTGCTTTTCGTATTATCAAGAAAGTTCCAGAATTGATGGAAATGTTCATTCCTGCCACAAGATCCCTTCTTTCAGAAAAAAACCATGGTAAGATATATTGCAACGTTGTCAAATGCTTTTTGCTATTTTAGCATTAAATAATAATGAATATGCATTTATATAAAACAATTAGCATATATTTTTGCTTGTTGGTTTAGTTTTTCATGTGCATTGCTTTGAAAATTTTCTTTGAAAAAAAAAAAATAGGGTGTGTGATTTTTTTTCTTTGCAAATGTTTTTGTTTGAAAATCTTACTTTCTGACAGTTCTGTATGCTGAAAATCACATTTTAATTTGGAAAAAAATACCGATTCAGTTTTTAAATGGTTGTGATATTTTTTTTTAAATACTGGATATCTAAAATTTTCTGGTTGACATTTTCTGTTTGCATTTTATTTTGTTTCGATACATTCATCAATGCAGTAATAAGTAAAGTAAAATAAAATGAGAGAAAAGGGAATGAGTAGAAGCAAAATAGAATACTTTTTTTCTCTTGCAGTTTGCTTTAATTCAATCAGTCTTGATTTTGGTGCTAATCTTAATTCATGAAACCTCTCCAGATTTTCCTTTACGACACTGATGTTTAACAATTGATTGATTTTTGTTCTTTTTTTTGTTCTAATAGCTAAATTTCTTTCAAAGAAACTTCTTCAAAGGTTTTGTTTTTCGCTTAATATGTTGTATTTCTTTGAATTTATTGGAGATGTTAACTTTATAATTGCAGCCTGTTAATTTATTTTATTGTTGTAATGTTGAGGTTTACACATCTAATTTTTACTGCTAGTAGAGAAAATCATTATTGAAATTTGCTGTAAAAGCGAATGGTCTAATTAACAGGAGATTTTTTCATTAATCTCATTGTATCATCCATCAAGAAAATTTACATATGAATATAAATAATAATGATTAATATAAATTTACATATTTTTTCTTTTAAATTTCTTTTAAGTTCTTTTTTAAACACATAATGAATGTAGTTGTAAAGTGGTTTTCTTCATCTAGATTGAGAATGGTATTTAATTGGGAACAAAATGAATGGTAACAAAATGCAAAAAATAAATAAAATAAAAAACTAATGTTTAAGTTAACAGTTAGCTATATTCTTTTGCTAAAGAATTTACCAACATTATCACATATGGGGACAATTTAATTTTCTGAAGTTGTTGCTGTGCATCAAGCACCAAAGGTTAGAAACTCCTTATTTAAAATCTATGAGATTATGCTGTTGATCAAATTCAGAATTTTATCCCACTTTCAATATATTTCTCGCTTTAAATTTTGCTTATACAGCATTATGTATCCAGAATGCCATCGCCATCCTGGATATCTGGATTTCCTGGTTTTCTGGATCACTAAATATGTCTTTCATCTATGATTTATCAAACCCAAATTATAAAAAAAATAGTAGCACATTTTAAAATAAAAAGAGCAAAATTATCAATTATACGCAATGCTTCATTATTTTTTTCCCCTTTTAGTACAGTCACTTATGTTTTAAGTTACAATAATTTACTAAATTCTTCCGATTATTTTAAAATTAAAGTACAACTTAGCTATATTCCTACTTAATTATTAAATAAAAAATCTTATTGTAAAAGTATAGTATTGGATAGTTATGTTTTTGTATAATTTTACTTTCAACTTCTACTCACTGACATGCATCTGAAAGCATTTCCTCATCTTTAAATCAAAGCAAAAAACTTAATGAGCGTGCTACTCCTTTACATTTGATGGACAGCTGGTGATCGATGAACCCATTAATTTTATCCGGCACACATGAGAAAATAAGGAATTTGTCTGTTCTCCTGACCTAATGATTTTCTAGTTTGAGAGAGGAATATTGAAATTTTCTATCTATATTTTGAAAGAAAAATAACTCTCCCCTCATTTTCTAATTTACTCAGTTTCAAGGAAGAGTGGAATTTTTCATCTTGCCTCAATCGTTCTAGTTCAAAATTGCAGAGTTTTTTTTCCCCCTTTAATATGCTTATAAAATTGCATTCATAAATATTTATATTAAATCTTTACTAAAATTTACTTTCTCTAATTTTATAAAAATGCTATTTCTTTTTAGGTTAATTAATAAATATTCTTAACTCAAATATTATTTCTTAATAAAAAAAAGTAGATATATAGTATATAAAATATATACAGTACTGAACCCGTTATCCGGAAATCAGAAAACCGGAACGAAATTCAATAAATTTTCCCGCAATTTAAAGAAAAAAAAATTTTTTTTCCTCATAAGATTTCAGGATTTTTCTTTCTTTTTTGAAAGATGTTTACCTTACCATCATTTCAGAAATAATCATTAGTGTATTACCTCATTGTTTTTTCTTATTTTTAAGATTATTTCCAAAAAAATTTATTTTTTTTAGTTGGGTTTAACACTAAAAAAACGGCTTTTTGTAGCGATTCAGAAAACCGGAAAAATCAGTTATCCGGAATAGCGATAGTCCCGATCGTTCTGGATAATCGGTTCTCTACTGTACTATATATATACTTTATATATATATAGTATGTATTTTATGTAGTTATGACATAATATATAATATATAAAATGTATTATATATATAGTATATAAAATATTCTAGTATATAAAACTGGTATGTAGCATATAAAATGGTAAGTGAAAAGTTTTTAACAACATGCCTTTGACAAAGCATTAAAAATCAAGATTTGGTGCAAACTTTGCGAAGTGTAGTAACTGGATTCTGATAATCATTCTCTTTTGTAACCTTAATCTTTAGAATCTTGAAGCTGCTTGTCACGGTGTTCTCCCCTAAGCATATTTAGAAGGATGGCCTGCCCTTTTTGTGAAAATAAACTGCTGTCCTTAAAAAGACTGCCTTTTTATTCATATTCCATTTTTAAAAATAATAAGGCACTGCTTAAATAATAATTATACAGCGGTAAAATTATGTCTTTATAGGTTTAATTCTGATTACTATTACAAATAATTATTTTGTTAGAATTATTCTTAACTGGTTTAATTATTACAAGTTTCTCTTTTTTTTGAGGTATATTAATTAATTTTTTAATTCATTTTAAAATTATTTTTTAAATAAATACCTTTTTTTTATTTTTAAAAAAAAGGCACATTTAAATTCTTATTTTCTCATAAATTTCAATTTAAATTATGAAAAAAAGCTTTTGAGATGTTTATCCATTCTTTTTTTTTTTAGTTCACTTTTTTTGGAAATTTTTTTTTCACAGTGATTGTCTTTTAGCATGCTTTTAATTTTTTTTATAAACTACAAAATTTTCTCTTATTTTGATTATGAGTGAGAATAATTTTTCTGAAATACACACATAGTAAAAGAGGGTCATTTAAAAATAATTGGGGATCAAATTCAGTTATCACATATTACACATTTTAATAAATTTTTATGGTGTTTACCCTTTCAAAACTCAAAAGTGCCTTTTTCTCTGAGGAAGCACCCTGCCCTTTTGTTATTACCAGGGAGAACTCCGTTGTCATAACTATCAAACCTTAGTTTACATAAAAACTTAGTTTACATATATAATAATTACAACTGTAACAGAAATATTAACCGTAGCATTGGATAAAAAAAAAACTACTGTAATTAATTATGTATGACTTCATTCTTTTTGTTTTACCATGCAATTTATGTTTGTTACATTTTTAACATTATAAACTGCTTTATATCTAAAACAGTAAAATGTTTTGTACCCATAAGTAAAATGCTGTGTCTTAAGTAAAATAGTCTATATCTATGAAAATAAACAAAATGACCAAATCTAGTTTATTAAGTCTGATTTTACTGTTTCTATTTTTAGGTGTACTTATAACAGCTGTAGTTCTTATTACTGAAATGTGTGAAAAAAGTCCAGATGCCTTGCATCATTTTAAAAAAGTTTGTAGATCTTTTTAATAGAGAATTATATGAATTAATAAAAAGCTCTAAGGGGAGTCTACTGTTCCTATCTATCCTATGTTGAAATGACCAACTATAAAACTATTTTTCTATAAACCACTGATTTGAATTTCAAAAACCTACTATTTGCTTCTTTTTTTTTAATCTTCTACTTTCCCAGATCACTTATATTAAAAAAATATTCTGAAATTCAAAAATTTCGACTTTTAAAATTTAATAAGATTTTTTATCATGTAAACCCCTAAAAGAGTGACTTTTTATGAAGAAAAAGAAAACGAAAATAAGTATTTACATAACATATTTAAAGTTCAGCTAACCTTGCACAAGATCACTCAACCAACAAAACAACTAATCAAAATTAAGTAAATTTTACCTTAAATTGATCATAAATGCATGTAAAAATTAGAAGGGGAAAAAAATATAATTACTAATTTTTATTCAAAGAATAGATTCTCCTTAAAAATTTATTTTTATTTGTGAAAAATTCCAGTTCAATAGAAAATTTTCTTTACTTGAGACTTGCAATGAATAATATTGTTAGTAATGAAGTATTCCTTGAATGAAAGTTAATAATTTGAAAAAAAATTTGATTAATTTAAATATTGGTTGTCGTTTGTCAATTTCGAATACATAAAACGCAAAAGATGCACTAAAACTTTCTGGTTATTTGGTTATTCAAAGTCATTAACTTCTTTATTATCTGGCAAATTATTTTTTAATATATTAGTAAATGATGCTATATTCCTTCATGTTAGCTTATCATATTTAACTATTTTCTATTCATATTAACTATTTTAACTATTCAACTTCATTATTATTAATCAAGAACATAATATAATCAATATTAAATTAATTTTGTGTTCAAAATTTGCTAATGGAAAACATGAGTTATTTGGTGAATCTGGTATGTTTTGTTAATTAGGGAAGTTGTTTCCTTCGGTTTTTTGTAAAAAAAAATCATTAATCCTTCACGCCTTTTAAAAGTGAAATTTTTGTTTCGTTTTCCTCATGCTTTTGTCAATCATTAATGCAGACTGAAATAATCATTATTTGATAAATAATTTCCTATCCAATGTTGGAAACAATCTTAATATCAGTAATGTAAATTTGTGTCCCCCGGGATGGACAAAAATTGCCAAATATTTTCCTTGTATTTGACATGCTATAGTGCTTAAGTAATATGTCTATTGCATTTTCCTTATTTTTTATTCCTATATTTTCAATTTTCTTTTTTAGCTAGTTACTAATTTAGTTAGAGTTCTTAAAAATTTAATCATGGCTGGATACTCTCCTGAACATGATGTTTGTGGTGTTAGTGATCCTTTTCTTCAGGTAAAATATTTTGCATAATAGAATAGTTATATTTTAAAATGGTCTGTCTTTTTAAAAATTTTTTCCATCTTCATTATAGGTAAAAATTTTGAGGCTGTTAAGGTTATTAGGGAAAAATGATCCTGATGCAAGTGAAACAATGAATGACATCTTAGCTCAGGTATTATATTTTTTGTACTCTTATTGTTGACTATTTCTAATTAAATTTTTTTTATGTAACGCTTTGGTTTCAAAACCAGCTCAATCTGTTTTTAGAAATTTCTCTTGAGAATTCTTTAGTAAAATCTTAGTTATTAAAGTTTCAAGTCTAGTTACAAAAGGAACCTCTCATTCTTGTATGTAAGTAGTTGGGTATTTTTTTTTTTAATGTTTGATTATTCAAAAGGATTTTAATTTTTTAAAAAGTACTTTCAATGTCAGTTAAAAGCATTTTGGGTGGAGGTAGTTTTGATAAAGGAATCTAGTCTTTTTTTAATTATAAATTTTCTTAGGGAAAAATACAAAGTTTATCCTCAAAACTTTAGTGATCGATGGCGTATTTTCTGTGGGTTGCCATAGTAGCATAGGGATAATAGATTTAATATAGCAGCCTGTATTGCCAATTGATAAAAAACAAGTAATGTGGCAGACTTTGCTCACAAATTCTGTTTCAGTATTTGTCGCTATTTTTTCATGCTGTAAAAAACACTAGACTGTTTAAAAAAGAAAAAAAATTCTGCAATCAATATGCATGCCAACTAATATTCTGTCAATCATCCTGAAAATTGCTGGCAATTTATGTAACGATATCTCTTCAAAGTGGCAAAGTTTCTTTTTTTACACATTGTTTTTTAATAAAATTATGCATAGTGTAATAAATATAAAATTTAAATTTTTGCATTCTTTGCTACTATTTATTAATCCCTTTATCTAAAATAATAAGTTTAAACATTTGTATGCAGTAAATATACTTTATTCAAAAATGTAGCAATCAGGGACTGTCATATTTGACTGCCATTATGGATGAAATTGCAAAAGTGTTCGACTTCATCTGGTCCTAGAATGACATTTAATTTAAATCTTTAACAAAATTAAGAAAAATTTGACCTGCAATTAACTTATCCTCTTCCATTATTGAACTTTTTTCTTTACATTAATACATGTGTGGCTCCCATGATTTCTCAAATTTATTGCTTTGACCTTCGTGCACAAAAAATTGAAGGCCCCTATCTAAGAAGATCCAAGCCTTAGAAAAAACCTGTTATTTCACCTTGACAATATTTGTAAAAATGCAAATCAGTGCACCTAATAGCTGATTCTCACCATTTTAACACTTAAATTTTTTTTCAAATGCTAGAATCACATGAAGAAATCGGAAGTCAAATCGCTGAAATATCGCTTAAAAAGCTTTTAATATAACTTTATTTATTCAAGGAGAAACTGATTTTATTAGCTTTTATCTTTGATCATATGGTTTTCAAAGTAAATAACAGCCTTCTTCAGAACTTTACAGCCGTTAAAATCTGAAAAAAAGTTCTCAGGCGAATTAAAACTAGAAAATTCAAAATAAAATACTGTCTGTTTTCATTATAGAACAGACTTAAAATCAGATGACTTATGAAACTTGATAACAGGTTTAGGTTTCTTTAGTCAGAGCTCATGAAATCTACTGCAATCAAACGGGACTTCACACTTGACCCACATTAACCACATAAATTGAGTGTTCACCGTTGCATCACATTGAGGTGTTTGTTAAGAATGGATAGTAACAGAAAGATAGTTATGCTACCATCCAAGAAAAGAACATACCCTTTTTTATTGCGCTTTGGCAGAAGGTAGCCTCCAAAATCTTTTCTACCCACCGGTTACATTTTCATTACTTACTTTTGCAATGTTAGCACAATTACGGGTATATATTAAATCATAATACCTCATGTCTGATATTTATCTTCTAGTTATTTTTACTTTGTTTAGGTTGCAACTAATACTGAAACTAGTAAAAATGTTGGAAATGCTATTCTCTATGAAACAGTGCTCTCAATAATGGACATTAAGTCTGAAAGTGGATTAAGAGTATGCTCATCTTTTTCCTATTTTTCTTTCTTTTTTGGAACTATGTGAATGCTATTCTTTTTAATTATTTTTTTCAAATGTTTTAAAGGTACTGGGTGTCAACATACTGGGCAGGTTTTTGTTAAATACAGATAAGAATATAAGGTAAATTTTAATTTGTCTCAATTTCATATTTATATTGTTTCCTACAAATGCTTAAGGAGTGATCTTGAATCACAGTTACCATCAGAGAAGTAGCTTTAGTCTATAGCAGTCGGCACAAATACTGTTAATGCGCCTCCTCGCAATGTGACGTCAGACTTAAGGGATCATGCTTTAAGGATTATTTTAATCTTTCAGTTATATGAAAACTGAATTGGTCAGTGCACTTTTGGGCATGGAATAGGGTAAAACAAGTAAAATTATCAAGGCAGCAACGCTTAAAATACATTTTATTTGAAAAGTAGAAAAGAAGTAAGAAAGGAAATGTTGAAAAATTATGTTATAGAGGAATATTAAACTCTTAAAATATCAATAAAAAGTTACATTTCACCCTTAAAATAATATTCTACTTTTATTAACGATGATTATTCCTAGTGATTAGGACTGAACCTTTTTTAAATTTTCAAAATATTTTGCATATAGGAGGAACATGATTTTTTAGCGTATTTCCATCAATAAATTCTAAATTTTTGACTAACAGTCTTAGTCAAACTTGTAAAAGTTATTTATTTTGAAATTCCCTTGCTTTATTGCCACCATCACCCCTGTCACAGTTCACTCTTGCTTCTTTTTTTTTTCAAACTATTTGCATTAATAGAACAATTTCCCCTAATAAATAATTTTCGAGATTTTCTTCATTTTAGTTCTACATTGAAAAATATTTGGTATACTTAACTACATATTTCAATACCTTTTTAATAGTTTTACCTGAGTTAAAAAAAAGGAGATGGCTGCTTTTCCTGCAAAAAAATTTATTTTTTCTTCCATTATATTAATTAAAAAATGGCCTGCCCTTTCAATATTATCCACCAGATCAATTGCAGTGATGTAATGTTTCAGTAGCTATAAAGATTGTAACTCTTGATTATTGAGACTTCATTTTATACTTCATCAAGTTCTTATTGTTTTTTATTATAAATATCTAATTATTTAAAAATTACTTATAAATATATTTTATGCATAAGTTTTATGTACATATTTTTACAGATATGTTGCTCTAAACACTTTATTATGTACTGTGCAAGCTGATTACAATGCAGTTCAGAGACATAGAAGTACAATTGTTGAATGTCTTAAGGACCCAGATGTATCAATCAGAAAGTAAAGTTAATTTTTATCCTTTCATATTTCTTTGCTTCTATATTTTTCATGCATATTGTATAGTTAAATTGCTTTGAATCGCTATAAATTTTTATTTCTTTCTAAGGGTAATGGTTGTGAATATTCTTTTTGGTATTTGTTTATTTTTCAACAGATTTTCTTAGTGTGTTAATTGCACAATGTTTCATTTCTGAATACAGTGTCATATTTAATAAAAGAAAATATAAATCAGAAGCAGAATTTTTAATGTATTTCCTGTTCTCTAGAATGATTACCAATTTTTCTCTTATATTTTTAATTGTACCATATTTTATTAAAATATTTCATAAATTTATTTGTAGAAATAAATCTAATGTATGAAAAATTAAAAAAAAAACTAAATAGCTCTGAAAATATTGATATATTTAGTGTTCAGAGTAATTGCAATAAGTTATTTTTTATATTTTAATATAAAGTACTTCTTTTTACATTTGTATTTTTATCCATTTTCTTTCTAATATAAAAGCTTTAATTGCTTGTCTCAACATTCCACATTAAAAAAAGCACATTTTCACTTTTGGAAATAATTGGTTTTAACAAGCATATTTCTTGTTATTCAAATAATTAAAATAATTATTTGAGTTAAAAATTTTAAGCCTTTTAATTAAAAACTCTGACTTTTTCCCTTTTATAGTCATGGTTTTCTTTTAAAATAATTCCCATTGCTAAACTTACTGTCTCATTGCCCTTCTCTGTAATTCCCTTAATAATAAGTACTTTTGTTGGTTTAAAAGTTATTTATTTTTAAAATAAATAATTGTAAGTATTTTTTTCTTTTGGTAATAGCGATTAAATAGCATTGGGTTTAACCCCTGTGTGTAGATAAAAGTAGCAAAGGAATTATATGAAGTATAGAGATAAAAGGGTAGAAGAGATGAAGTGTAGATAAAAGTAGCAAAGGAATTATATGAAGTATAGAGTTAATCTACAAGACCTCATAAACTTCATTTAGTGTACTGTGTGAAAAAAAATAATACTTGGATGACATTTGATCTAATGTTGTATTATCATATACTAAGTTGCAATTTGCATTCTCAATAATATCTGGTGTAATTTCATAAAAAGGAGGTTTGGGCTTGCCATCTTCAATGACTTAAAGTAAAAACCTATTAAAACTGGTAGAGATTTCAGATTATTTATTAATGCATGGCATAAGTTGTTTATGTCAGGCAAAAACTTCAAGATCCGGAACAAATATGCAGAGATAGAGAAACAATGAATTAAGTGTTACGATGACATTTTCAGATGTAAATACTGCAAGGGTGAAAAATTAGTATTTTTTGAAAATTATATATTTAAAAAAAAAAAAACAAAACAATTAAGTCAAAACAAAATAATGTCTGAAATTACTAAAAAACTATTGGTAAAATTCGCAATAAAAATTTACCATTGAGAACATTTTTTTAAATTAATATTTTATTGAGTAATATATATGTATATATATATATATTAGATAAATTTCCTTTAAACGGAATATTCAGTAAATGAAATATAAGTACACATTTATCTAGATATAAGTGAACATATTTAATTAAGAAATAAGGATAACATAAATAAAAATTCATAACAGATTTCATATTTTTCTTATAGGTTAATAGATTTTAAAAATTCTTTATAAATTTAATATGAAAAAAGTTAATTTTTAAAAAAACATTTCACTTTCTTGTATAATGTTACTTCTTATTTCTGTTAAATAAAAAATTGGTAAATTACTAGATTATATACTATTCTGTACTTTAATTGTGTATAGCAATCTCCAATAATCTGTTTTTCCATAATATATAATTCCTTTCTGCTACAGAATTTTTAGAAAAATTAAGAAATTTTTCCCTTCACACACACAGTTTACAAGCGTGATAAAAGAAGTATAAGTTTGATTTTACTTGATAGTTAAAGTTTGACTCTCCAGAATGTGTGTGGAACTGACAAATTATGGTTATGCAAAAATTCCTGTGACTTGAATGCCGGAAATCTCTATTTTTGATATTACCTTATTTTCCAGAAGAATGCTGTCCCTTAACAAGAACAAAAAAAAATTTCACAGTCAGCACAACTGTGTCTTTCAAGTCCTGTAATTTTGGTTTGGGTGTGATACAGGAATCGTGTGCTTTTTGAACTAAATGCTTTTTTAATTTAAAATTTTTTCATAAATAATTTTCTGATAATTGCAGTTGCCTGAGTTTTCTCGTTAGTTGAATTCCAGATAGTTAGACTTTGATTATATATAATGTCTTTCTTATCCAAACTATTCTTTTACCTCCACTTTTGACTGTTTTAGAAGAAATTGATAAAATGATACTTTATTTATCTTTTATTTATCTTTTTTAAAGTTATTATTTTTTACTTTAACATGTTTATTTATCTAAAAAATTCTTTTAGGCGTGCTATGGAACTTTGTTTTGCATTAGTTAATTCAAGTAATGTAAGATCAATGACCAAGGAACTCTTAGTTTTCTTAGAGAAAGGTGACCCAGAATTTAAGTCTCAGTGCTCTTCTAATCTTTTCATATCAGCCGAAATGTAAGTTATGTCAGATTATTACTCCTTTATTCTAACAATTTATAATTTATGCTTTTCATGCTGTATTACTTTTTTAAATCTATATTAAATGTATGTGCAGGGTGCGTAGCATTTTTAAAAAGGTGCTTATTTTTTATTTACATATTTTTAAAAGCCCTTAAGGGTGCTTTTTTATTTATTTGGGGTTTGAAAAAGGGCTTAATTTTCTATCTTTTAAAAAGAGATTTTTTCTTTTCTGTGTCGATTGTCGTTTTAAATTACAAAAAATGCATGATTTTCACATTTTTCTCTGCAATATTTATCAGGAACTAGTTATTTTATCATGGTTATGTAAAGTTAATGAAAATGTTTTTGAAATTTGTTTATTTTATGTTTATGAATTAAGAACTTTAAACGATAGAATTTTTTTATTTTTATAACTGCATAAATCCTAATTAAGATTTTCTTTTGGAAAGGGATTAAACATATTTTTTGAGTGCTTAAAGCATGCTTATTTTTAGTTGAAAAACTAGCTACGCATCCTGATATGTTAAAGTGTTATTTTCTTCTTTTTTTTTTCTTTGAAAGATTCTAGATATTTGAGCATCAATTCTCTCATTTTCTTTTGTTAAAAAAGGAATTCAACTTGGAATATATTGATTACAGGTTTCCGTGATGAAGTTATATTGCTCTTAAATTTTCTGCATTATCTTCTAGTTTTGAAAAGAATGATTAAACATGATGACTACTGTTTGTTTTCTTTATTAGTTACAGTTTTAGGAAAATTAAAACAGAGATTAGACGAATAATAATAAATTGATAACTAATGAGGAGTTTAGAGTTAGATCTAACACAGTTTACATTTTAACTGGTGAGGTTTAGAAAAAAAGGATAGAAAGCTAGGTAAAAAACTCTCCTTTAGCGAAGAAAATGAAAATAAAAAAATAGTAGCTCTAGCTAAGTGTTTAAGTTCAAATTTATACCTTGGTGCCAAAAATTACTTTTTTGTAATTATGGATAAATATTTATTTAAAATTGAGATTTATAACAAAAAATGATAAAATAAAAATTTGAAAATTTGTTTTTTCTGTAATAGGTATTCACCTTCAAAACGATGGCATATTGATACTATGATAAAAGTTTTGACTTTGGTAAGTACGTTCTTAAATAATTTTTAAAATGCATGTATTATTAATTCATTTATATAAACATTAAGATAGTTTTAAGTTAATGCAACAAGTGAGGCAGATTTTGAATGCATTTTTTGAAAAACTATAAGAGTTCTGAAACAAAATTTAAACATTTTCTATCAAAGAATTAACACTTTTTCACTGCAGCTTTTTTGTGATTATAAATTTATTTTATTACCTCATTGTTATCTCTTGAACATGTTGAATAAGCCCTGGTGTGACGTGACTGTGGTTACTTTTCCATTTTACATGTATTTATTAAATTTAATTAAAAATTTATTTAAGTAAAGAGATGCAATTAATTATTATAATAATATCGTAAAAATTAGCTTTAAATTTTAAACAATTATTAAAAATTACAATTAGTTTTAAATTTCTAAAAAAAAAAAAATTTAAAAACCTATTTTTTTAAGTTTGATTGTAAATATTAAAGCAATGTTTAAATTTATTACAGAAAAACATATGAACCCAGCTGTGAGGTAACCCTTAGAAAAAACCCATAACCTTTTGAAAGGGTAACCTTTGACAGGCTCAATGATGTAAAATTTAAAAAAGGAAGTAAAGAGAAATAAATAGTGTAAGTTAATACATTTAAACGAATATGTTTAAGAAGTTTTTAATTTATAAAACAAAAAATTTTATACTTCAATAGAATATATTTCAAAGCAATCGGCAATTTAGCTTTCTCTCATTTAAGCTATACCTTCACTTTATTTGAAATGCAGGTTTTACAGAAAAACAATCTTTTCACTTTTTTGAAACTTTGCCTCTTGAATAAGGTACAGTCTGCAAAAAAAAAAAGAATCACCCTGAATAACTTTCGTTCTAATGATCGGATTTTCACGAACTAAGTGTCAATCTTAATGGTTCCTGGGGGTGACCTCAAATATGCTAATTAATTAGTGCTAACTATTAATTAAGTTACGAAATCAGACACAAAAACGTACTTTCTCTGAATAAACATGCATTTTTTTTTACATATTTGGATTTCTTATCTTCAAAATATAGGGGGTAGCCGCAATCTGGGAAATGTGGTCCCCATAGTTTGGTCAGGAGAGCGATTCAAAGTTCGTACCCCTTAATGTTAATTTCGCTTTTTGCGTTTTCAGTCATATTTTCAAAACTAATGAAGCAATTCAAAAAAAATTGCACCCACTCATAAAACTCATTTACCCAAAGATAATTTCATGAAAAAAATAATTTTTAATAATTATTAATTATTTTTTATTATTTAATTAAATTGAGGATGAAAAAATTTTGAATTATAAGGTATGAATTTTTTTATACCATATTAATCTACATATTTTTCAATTGAAAAATCTAAAGTTTCAACTGTTTTTATTTATTAGAAGCTGAGAAAAATTAAAATTAATTATTTTTAAAAAAATAATTTGGCGACAATAAAGAAATGATTAAATGGGGCGATTAATATTAAAATGTGATAAACTTGCGAGGAACTTGACTTCGCGCGCGTAGTGTAAAATTTCATTCATATTTTTTTCGCTAATAATCGTTTGCTAATCTTTTAATTTTTATTGATTTCTAACTATAAAATACAATGTTTCCTTTTTAGTCGCTTAATAATTTATTTGCAATTTAGTAAAGAAATTTGAATAAAACATTTTGAGTAAAAAACACTTTATTCAAGGAATGTCTAGCTTTATAAAATAGGATATGATATGATCTTCTGATAGAATATGATTATACACCAGATTGTGCTTATTTAATGTGATGCGAACTAATTTTTCCTATATTTCGTCAAAAGAGGATAAGAATGATATTGCTCAAAGGGACCTACTCAATAATTTCGCTATTTCCAGAATGAAATCTGTTTGATCGAAACATATTATTCCTTGAAAATTAAAACGAGGAAAAAATTAGCTTTTATTATTTTTCTAAGCTTATTCCATTTATTTAATGATATCGGTATTAAGGTTAAGAATATGCGATGGAAGCCCCGTTTACTATTAGACTATAAATGCATTAAATCATGTAGCTTGAATAATTTATTTTAAGCAAATTATTTAATAATTTTAAGCAAATAAGGGTGTAAAAATAAACTTGATCAAAATACTCCGAAAGTATACCCTAAAATATATATGTAGAATAAACTTTGGCATCGATATATAAAAAATGCCTTTTTAAAACTTATTTTAATATCGAGTGAAATAATTTAATATGTTGTGTAACTAAATGGATAATATTAAGAAACTGAATCGAAAATATGAAAACTTCATTGATTTAAAAAAAATAATAAATGATAATAAAAGTAGACATGTTTTGAGCGTTCAATAATGAAAGTCACAAGTTATTCAAGCCTGACAAGTCTTGAGAATTGGCGATTATATTTGAACGCTCGAAAGCATGTCGACTTTTACTTCCCTCTTCATATGTTTTGAAGCCAGTTGATTTTTTATTGTCAATTATATTGTTTTACATTTGGGTCTTGATCATTATTTTGATAAGGATTTTACNGGGAGACACACGCTAGAGAGACTGCCGGCCTCAGCGGTAAGCGCGCTTTCGCGCTTTGCGTCGCGAAAGGGTTAAAAACGTAAGAGCCTCAATATTGTAAAAGCAGGGTTTGTACAGACTCCTTATACTCCTTAGAAACTCCTTGGAAATTAAAAGGTCTCCAAGGAGTACTTGGAACTACTTAGATTTCCAAATTAGTCCTTAGAAATTCCTTAGATTATTGTGTTGCATAGATGAACTTACTAAGTCCGCTGATGAATTAGCTGTCCAAGCAGGGGAACAAAATGATATGACTTAGCTGTCAAAATCTAATAGTTTAAGAAAAACTTTAAAAGAAAAAAATTGAATCGCAAGAGTTAGAAGAAATAAATAAAAGCAAATGATTTTAATTTTACATGTTACAAGCAAACTTAACTAATGATTTACTGTTTTTTTTTAATAAAATGCCTTAGATTTTATGAATTCAAATTTAAAAATATAAGATTGGTGGGTTTTTGTGTTAATCTTTAACATCTGTACTTTTACGAGATTTATTAAAATATTTGAAGCTGAAAAATGTATTTATGTGTGAAAGTGATAACTTTATTTATTTTTCTTGATGAAATTTTACAGAGTCAACATTTATTTCAAAAGGGCTAGAAAAAAATATCCTATGCAAAATATACATTTTTGCAAGTTCTTTATAGTTACTGCTTTCTGATTTTAAAAAAAAAACTGTCTAGTTATCTTTTACGCAAAGTTTTTAAATTTTGGACTCCTTGGATACTCCTTCGATTTACTTGGATTTTTTCTTTTGACCTCTGTATGAACCATGTAAAAGTTATATTTAACTTAAAAATTAAAATTTTGAGACCAGTTATTTTGAGTTAATGAAATTAAATATTTTATCTTTTAAGTTTTTGGGCCCCATTTCAGTATCTTAAGGATCTTACTAGCTCTGTTTAAAAGGAGAGTATCAGATATATATAAGAAAACATAAATAATCATAATAGCAGTATTTGGTGGTAAATGTAGCTTATCGTAATTGAAGAATATGCTGTGCGACATTGTATGGTGAATTTGCGAGCGTAAGTTTCAGAATGCATCGAAACACGAGGATGCTATTTGCTAATCATCTTTATCCAAAGAAAACCATGTAACCTAAATATCTAGCAGAATGAAGCGATTTTATAAACAACGAATCATACAATATGCAACATATTATTTCAATATCTTATTCTTAAACATAACATACTTCAATGTCTTTAAAATGCCACTAAATATTCAGCAATTCCTTGAGTTATAAAAAAAGAAGTATCGTAAATTGCTGTAAGCCTTGTGAATGTGTATTAGAATTACTATACAATCTACATTTTATTTTTCAAGCACTTTTTTTTTCTTCAAACTTTCTTCAAACTTTTCTTCAAACTCGATTAATCCTTTCGCACCGACTGTCACAAATACGTGACAGCATAAAACAGTATCAACCAGGGTAAAAAGATAAAACTGGTAATCAAAGTAATTTTTTAGCAGTTTATTTGTGGGCGGGGTTATAATTGTTTGATTTATTTAATTCACCATTACTTAGTACAAAATAAAATTATTTAGTTATACTTTGAACTTACATTGATTATATGTATGATTAAATTAACAATAATTAAATTCAAGGCAAAGTTAGTCTGTGAAATTAGCAATGCCTGCATTTAAGCTACCGTTTTTTATTTATTTACTTCCTGATTCTGATTTTATACGAATGCTTTCATGAATCACCCGTCCCCAAGGGGTTAAAACTGTAAAAATGATCATCCCTAAAATTTTGTATATAGCTCTAATAAGTTATGTTAATTTGATTTTAGTATGAAATCCTCGAATAAATTTAGCAAAAGCAGCATTATCTAAACAATATCGGATAAAAAGTTCATGTTTATTTAAATTCTAAAAACTTGGAAAATAATAAATAATTTATAAATCGATTCAAATTTTCTTTTCAAAGGACATTAAAAAAAATTTTTTTTTGCTTTTTAGATAGAAATCAGCTAAAAAATTGTCTATTGCCTAGAACTTCGAGATATTTTCGATTAACAATGAATCAAACCTCTCTGAGCAGTCACAAAAAATTATTTCAATTTTTTTACAGACATAGCATGGTTGCCTAGCAACCTAGTAAAATTAAGCATTCCTCCTTTGAATTAGTCAATGGGTTATCTTAAAATATTCATTTGCGCAGGCGACTTTTTTTGGCAGTTTTCTGGACTATCGCCAAATATAAAATCCTTTATTGCAACCCAATTTACGATCCAATTTTTTTTTAATTTTGTCTACCCCCCCCCCTAATTCAAGTGTCTAGATTCCAAATATGTAAAAAAAAAAATCTATGTTTATTCAGAGAAAGTACGTTTTTGTGTCTGATTTCGTATATTAATTAATAGTTAGCACTAATTAATTAGCATATTTGAGGTCACCCCCAGGAACCAAGTGTCCTAACTGTGTGAACCTAAGTGTCAATCTTAAGATTGACACTTAGTTCCTGAAAATCCGCTCATTAGAACGAAAGTTATTCAGGGTGATTCTTTTTTTTTTTGCGGACTGTACATTTCAGTTAGAAAGATGGCATGAAAAATTTTATTATAGTATTTTTTTATGGGCAAGAATGGCAAATTTCTTCCACTGTAGAAAAAAATATCGCCCTGCAAAAAAATAAACTTCCTCTAGTCTAAGTAGAAATAAAAAATTTAAAAAAAAGGGAGAGAAAGAGAACTATCAAATACTAAATAAAATATTAAATATTTTATAATTGCGATTGAGTTTAATAGAATTAATTTTTAAGTCATTTAATGAATCCTTTTTAATTTAATATGTTAATTAGTATGAAAAAGGAAACAAATTTAATTGAATTCCTAAGAAATTAATGCAACTGTAGTTTCTTTCAATATTTTACCTAAAGAAGTATAGCAAAACTCTGAAACCTCAAAAACTGAAAACTCGGAAACAATATGAAAAACTTTTAAAATATGGTGATCAAATTATATATTGTATTATTATACTACAAATTACATTCACAATTATAAATTTCATACTAATTTTTATAACCAAATACTATAAATACTTAAATAATATGCTTAAGATATTTCTTAATAGTTATTTTAAATACTGATACTTTATTTTTACATACTTAGTTGTAAAATTTTAAGTTAATTATGTGTAATAAAGTAAATTTAAGAATTTTTTACGAACTTTTTTATTCACAAATTGCTGAATCTCTATTTTGAAATATATGATTTATTATTTACAATTTTAAAAGGTTTGATAAATTGGTAAACAACTCCAAAGCTTTTTTAACATCTGTACTGGAGATCATGAAAAAATTCAAGAATATTTTAAAGTTCACTCCCATTTATAGGGTAGGGTATTTATTTGTTTAAAAAATTATAACCTGTAAACTTCAGAGGGTGTAACATGTTAACGCAATCTTTTTAATAATCAAATTGTTTACTTTTATGAAATTTTTACTTAAAGGGGAAAGAAATAGGTTCTTATCCCTTTTTTTTCTTTTTTCTTTTTGTTAAATATTTGAGGTTAGAGAAATAATTTAATATCTAAGATTACTGAAAATTTCATTGGTATTTAAAAAAATTGTAATGAAAATTTATCTACGGGAGATAAATTTTTACCTAGTACTATTTTTTTAACTTAACATTTTTAATTAATAATTTATTAAGTAATATATACATATATATATAAAATTTATCTATAAACAGAATGTTCAGTAAGCTGAAAGTAATATACCCTAAAATGCTAAATAAGCCCCCACCCAAATTTTGTGAAAAATCGCCTCTAAGTGAGCAATAAGAATACACATTAAGAGGTAAAAATGAAAAATTTTTAAGAAAAATTAACATATTGAATAAAACACTAATGTTACTAGAACTGCTTAAGTATAAAATAAATGAAATTAATTAAATTAAATAAATTGTCTTTTAAATAACTTACCTTTAACTTTTCTTTTGCAAATTATTTTTGCTGCATCCTCAAATAGAGGAAATAAAAATTCTTTTATGAAGAATAAACACGAACATAAGATTTAATTTAAATACATTTATTTAAAACCATTTCTAATCAAAATTGGAAAAGCCTTCGAATAATGTGTCTGAAATCGTGTGAATACGCATTAATTGAATTAATATAAATTGTGATATTAAATTTTAAACACGCATGAATACAAACCAGGCTGTTTGATTTTTAAATCATGATATGTAAGTCTTAAATCTTGTGAATACAGATTGCTATTTGTGGTTATTTAACCGCTAGAATACAAATCACGCTATGTGAATTGCAAGGATTGATTTGTGACAGATTATCTGATTCTAGATGTGGGAGGTGAATCAGGGTTTGTTTGATATTAATGGTAAATATTCATAATTTACCTGGATATAAATGTGCATATTTATTTAAGAAAATAAGGACACATTTTTTAAGTATATGTTTATTATTTATACGTAATATAAAGTACATATTTTTTAAGATTTTAATAAATTTTTTAACTTACTTGAATTTTGCTTCAAGACAGTTAAAAGTTAGTGTTAGGCTAAAAAGAATACCCATTTATTAAAATAGTTTTGGTAAAAATCATTTTAAGATTTTTCTGGAATTGAGCGTTTTTTTTTTATCCTTTCCCCCTAGTTCATTTAAATAATGTAAGCTTCAATGGATAGATTTCAGTTTGATGTAATTTGTTTAATTAGGCTGGAAATTATGTCATTGATGATGTTGTTGGTAACCTTATTCAACTGATATCAGAATCAACCACCCTCCATACGTATACAGTACAACAGTTATGGAAACAACTAATTGGAGATCTTGCTACTAAGCAACCTCTGGTTCAAGTTGCATCATGGTGCATTGGAGAATTTGGAGATCTCCTGAATTCTGCTGAGGGTCAAGATTCTTCACCTGCTAACGTACGTTTTAAGAATTTATGTACCTGCTTTTAAATATATAGCAATGATAATTCCACTTGATTATCTGTTTATAGTATATTAAAGTGTGAAACGGTCCAGATTTGTAGGCAATAGGGTATCTAAAAATTTTCAAAAATATTTATTCTACAGTACGAAACCTTTTTATCTGAAAACTAGAATACTCCAAAAAAAAGTTTTTTAGATTAGTTTTAGAATGGAAAATAACAAGTTTCAGAGTTCTCTGTGATTTATAAATAATATTTACTGTCATGATATTTTTATTAAATTTATCATAGAAATTACTCATTTGGTTAAACAGATTCTATTTTCTAATTTGCTTCTATACTTACAGTTGAACAGTATTGTAAAATTGAGTGGTGCAATGCTAATATATTTCGCCGAATGTTTTCAGAGTTGAAACACAAATAAAATTTAAATTTCAAGGTTTTATATTTTAAGTGTTATTAAGATAAAAAAATTTTAATAAAATAAAAGTGCATTAAGGAATATTAAAGTAAGTTTACAAAAATGTTGCATGCCTGAAATTATTATAAAATGAGTAGTGATTTGAAATTGCAAAATTTCTAAAAATCCTGCAAGTTCAAAAATTATGCTTTATGCTGGTTAAGTGCGAAAAAAACTTCAGCATAACACTAAATCAACTTTTTAACTAAATATACTATATGTCTTGAATAGACTATTCAATAGATTGATGGTGTTTTCAGATTATATGGTTAATTAAAGAAGCTTCATTTTTATTTATTTATACAGTCACATATGTCAAAGTTAAGTTATACAGTGAGACCTCGATATAAGGTCACCCTAAGGAACATCGCAAAAGTGACCTTATAAGCGGGGTGACCTTTTAACCGATTCATTAGCAGTTCGTAACTAAGCACATAAATAGTACACACTATGATTTTCTAAAAATTGTTATGTAAACGAAAACGATCGGCCATAAATTAAATATTTAAGTCAATAAATTTTAATAGAATTAGTAAAGAATTAAAGAAAGATAGATTTTTAAAAAACTTTTAATTTAAAATAAAGTTGTATACAAATTTCCTCAAAGTGTACATACACACATTACATCTTATCTTATTTAAAATAATCATTTATGCAGGTCTGTCTCGCTTCTGGTTTCATTTTTCGAACAATGATTTCTAGATTTTGTAACTTCTCAAAATATTACTCAGCTCCCTCATGGTTTGTAAAAAAAATTCGCATGACATTGAAGGCTTCCACTTGGGTTACAGCTACAGTCTCAGGATCACTGTCATTGTCCTCACTGTCCACAACTTGTGAAACAATTTCAGAAATTGCAGTTTGTTCGTTGGCGGCAGCATTTTCCTAAAACTCGAGAGGGGTAATTGCCTTGAAAGGAAGTTAAATAGGCTTTTGTTAGAAAAAAGCTTCCCTCACCTCAGATAAAAATGACCTTATAAACGATAACGATTTTTAAAACTTGACCATATATCCGATAATCTGTAACAAAAAATTCCTATTCAGTGAGCCGGGACTTTGGAAAAGTGACCTTATATGCGGATGACCTTATACCGAGGTCTGACTGTATTTGGTTTCACAGAAATCACAATAGGATTAAATCATACTCTAGAGTGCCTTAAATACTTATTCAGAAACAATATTTAGTAAAATGTTCTTAGTAGAAGAATAGACTGATTCTTTAGCAGTGCTTTCACTTTCATATTTTGTTCTTTTCTCGCAATAAAAAATTATTAACGCAAGAAGTTCGCGCACTCTATTAATCAATATATATAATATTCAAAATGCACGAATTTTGGAAAAAATTTCGTCTTTTGCCATTTTGAATAAAATTTGTTTCACTTTTCTTCCTTGATCTTTCATTGTTTTTGAACATCGGTCCTTGTTATCTAGCTTCCCTATTTATCAGTATTGTTCAGAACCGGTGCAAACAGCAGAACACCCTCCCCCGAACTACGGAATACCTTTCAGAACACATCTCTCTGCAACCATGTGTTCACCGTAGGTAAGGTTTCTTCATGTAAGACGTTTGCATTATTTGTGCATGAATGTAAGATGGACAAATACCTTGTTAAGGCGACACCTTCGACTCCGTAACAGACAAATGAAAACGAAACAAATGTCGGTAGAAACGGTCAAAATGAAACAAATACGGATATTTTTCAGCCAAATAAATATAATAGCGGATGAAAAAGTTGATATACACCATTTTGCGTATGATGATGCAGCAAAAATATTCAATTAGAAGATGTGAAAAATGTATTATAATTAAAGAAATAATTTTTTTCCAAGTATATTCGTGTTTTTTTAATTTTTAGAAATCTCACTTAACTTTTTGAAATCTCACCCTGTTTTTGAGAAAGGGTGAGAAATTCTCTCCCATTTTTTTCTGCAATGAATGCACTGCTTAGACTTTTGTTAGGATCTATTACCTTAATTTTCTGTGCATTATCCATGGTGGTGTATAATTATCTGGAGCAAATTTTTATGAGAAATAAAACCTTTCTTCTACATTTCAATTTCCTTTTTTTTTTCTCTATTAAAGAATCTAACCGTGTACTTGCTGAAATCTTAAATATGTCTGTTATAAAAGTTAAATACTGTAGTGAGTATTCTGTTGCGGTTCTTATTCTAGAAAATGTAAGCTTGTCTGTAATATTTTGTGCCTAAAATGATATGTGATTATTGAAGTCTTTTCGTACGTTATTGTGTTAAAGATGATCTTATATATATATATATATATTTTCTATTAGAGAACTTTTCTGCCTGAGTGACTAAAATATTTTTCTTCTCAATGCCTTTAATTTTGTATAATTTTTGTTTAAAATAAAAATTCCTAGTTTTTACTAAAAGTTTTGATTATTTAAACATTTTGTTTTAATTTTTAGGTTACACCAGATGAAATTATTGATTTGTTTGAGAAAATAACATTAAATATTCATATGACTTTGACAACAAAAGAATATTCTGTTACTGCTTTGATGAAGCTTAGTGTACGATATACAGATACTGCTCCGTAGGTATTTTTAAGTATGCAGTTGAGTGCTGATTATCCTAGTTGATCGGAGACAATGTTGTTTTGAACAACAAAAAATTATGAATTTTTTTTTTGGTAACTTTAAATATTTTTTGGCTTATAACTGGCTATTGTGGAATATTTTAACATATTTCAAATGGTGTATGTAAAAGTTTCTATTTAAACATTCATTGAAAAGTTTGACCAATTTTTGTGAAACTATCTACGTTTTTGAAATTGCACTCTCAATGCCTTCACTGCCTTCTTCCTTTTAAGTTCAAAACTGATACAAAGTTTACAATCAAATTATTATTTTTTCATTATTTGATACAATTAAAGTGTTTAAGCCATATTCAAGTGCTATATTTCTTCAGGTTTAGCCTTTCTACAAACTTATATTAATCTTAATTTTTTGGTATATCTATATCAACATTTTTATGCTTTCCCGACATATTAAAAAACACCTCACAAAATTGATTAGAAAAATACATACAAAAATTACAATAAGACATGTCATGCACTTATTTTTTTATTATTCAGGGTTGCCACGGCACCGGGAGAACCTGGAAAACCGGGAAAATACAGGGAATTAAAAAGTCAAATGCAAAAACAGGGAAAATGCAGGGAATTTCGCGTTTTTCCTTAAAAACCGGGAAAATGCAGGGAATTTTAAATTGCTTAGTTTTTTCGCTGAAAAATGCCGATCTCTTTAACAATCATAAGAAGAAATGATCGCAGCTGTAGCTCGCTCCAAAAACGAAATAACATCCGTTGAACCGTGCGCGGAAGCTCATCCATTTCTACCACCGACACTCCCCTCATCTTCTGCATAGGCCAGTCCAATTTCGAGGAGGTAGCTCTTTCTCCTCTAGAAACTCACAAATTGCGCATGCGCAAGTACGAGTCTCTCCGTCTCGTCGAATGCGCATATGGACTCGCGCTCGCGGAAGTGGCAACATTCCATCTGCTGTTGCGTAATGGTGTAGCTGTTGTTTGGTCGCTCGCACGTGTGTTTACATGTTGAATATTTTGTTGGTATTTTTTATCAATAAAAGTTGGTTAGTGATTTCTTTTAAAAATGAGCTGCTCTAAGTCCGTTTTCAATACGGATTGGATGGATGAAAATATTAATCCCGACTTTGCAGCATGGGTTACCGAAGTTCCGAAGGATCCATTTTCTGCGTACTGCTTGCTGTGCAATAAGAAAATAAGCCTAAGTAATATGGGGAGACAAGCGCTTACCAGTCATAAGAAGACGAAAAATCATACAAAACGAAGTGCCGATTCAGAAAAGACACCATCAATTTTGGATTACGGAAAAACGGAAGTTGCGCATACCTCAAGTCCAAAAACAAAAGATTTGGTGTCCGGAAATAAACCAATAACTAACTTTTTAATTCATGAACAATCATTTAAAGTTGAACTGTTATGGGCATTAAAACTCGTTGCATCGCATTCGTCGTATAATGCTTTTAATGATGTAGCGGAATTATTTTCACTAATGTTCGCTGATAGTGAAATAGCCAAAAAGTGTACGTTGGGGCGTACAAAAATATTGTACCTTATCTGTTTCGGATTAGCACCATTTTTTCAACAATCTCTTCTGAAATCTTTAAAGAACAAAAAATTTGTCATATGCTTTGATGAAGCTTTGAACCGCATTTCGCAAAAATGTCAAATGGACCTTATAGTAAGATATTGGTGTGATTCAACTAATAGTCTCCACAAGATATTTCAATTCTGTATTTTTAAGGCATACTACAGCTCAAGAACTCTTTAAGAATTTTAAAGAAGTTATATCAAGTTTAGACTTAGTTACTCTTACAAATCAGCATGGATGGACCAAGCGTCAATTTAAAATTTTTAAAACACGTCAACGAAGAACTTTTGTCAGAAAATGACTGTAAAATTTTAAATCTGGGTACTTGTGGACTACACATAATCCACGGAGCGTTGCAGTATGGACACAAATCTACTGGGTGGAAAGTAGATGTTACTCTAAGAGCAATGTATGGAATATTTAAAGATAGTCCAGCAAGACGTGCTAATTTTCTGGAAGTAACAGGTTCTTCCGAATTTCCATTAAAGTTTTGTTCTATCCGCTGGGTAGAAAATGTTAATGTTTGCGAACGTGCTCTTAAAGTTTTTGACAATGTAAAAAAATACATTGAGTTCAGTAAAAAAGATTTGCCTGGATCTATGACTTGTGACAATATCAAAGGTGCTTGTCGAGACAAATTGATTCTAGCTAAAATTAGCTTCTTTTCCTATATTTCAAATATTCTTCAGCCATTTCTTAAAAAATTTCAGACCTCTGAACCAATGGTGCCTTTTTTGTATGAAAATGTCTTCATTCTTGTTAGACAGTTGATGAAAAATATTGTCAAAAGTAGCATAATTGAAGAAGAAGGAAAATCATTAGACAGTTTATTTTTGATTGATCTTGATGATCCGAAGAATTTACGGCTGAGAAAAAATACTGACATTGGAATAGTAACTACAGGTTACTTAAATTCTAGTGATGCTACTGAAGCAGAAAAAAGAGACTTTTTGGCTGAATGCTTTCTGTTTGTGAAAGCTACTACAAAAAAAATATTTGAACGTATGTCGAAGAATTTTGCTCTGCTGAAAGCTTCATCATGTTTAAACCCCCATTTTTAAAGAGCAATCCTGTATTATGCGAAAAGCGAATGGTTAGTTTGCTTCAACTTCTTTTTTCGAATGGACAAATTTCGCCGGCCTGTTCAGAATGTGCAAAAATCCAGTTTGAAACTTTTCTTGAAAAACTTAAAAGTGTTTACAAAGAGGAACTTAATTCATTTAGTGAAGATATGCGATTAGACGATTTTTATTCGAATATTTTAAAGTCCAGTGAATTTTCTGAACTTTTTGAAGTCGCAACAATAATTCTTACATTGTCGCATGGCAATGCTGCCGTAGAGAGTGGATTTAGCATAAACAAGGATATGCTTGTTGAGAATCTCAAAGACGAGTCCTTAGTTGGACTGAGGACTGTTTATGATGCCATACATTTTTATGGGGGGGTCTTAAATGTTCCACTATCAAAAGATTTGCTTCATTATGCAAAATTAGCGCGAGGGAGGTACCAACAAGCTTTAGAAAAGCAGAGAAGCATCGAGATAAAGAAGAAGGAAGAAGAGTCCAACAAGCGGAAGGCAGAACACAAATCAAATTGTTGCAGAGGAAAAAAATGAAACTGTTAACTGAAAAATCTGTTGAAGTTGCAGAAATTGATGCTCAAATACAAGAATTGAGCAAAAAAAAAAGGATTGTTAATCTTAATTGAAAATAGTTTTTGTTAATAAGTTAATCAATAAATTGTTTCAAGATAGCAAGAACTTTATTTTTTCCCCACCTGAGTCCTTCATTTTGTGTGAAATTTATTTAGAGCATTAGGTGATGTAGAAGTGAGCATGATTGGTTAATATAATTCCTGTCTTGATGAATTTTGGGTAAGAAAAATTGTTTCTTTTCTGTATTATTTTAAGTAATGTTGAATTATTGCTCACCTCAAGTGTTAAAACTAGGGAAGTAATTTTTTTCTAATCTAAGTATTGTTCGTGTGTTTCTTATTATACTGCGTATACATACAGGGAAAACACAGGGAAATTTTTTTCCAGATTTGAGTGGCAACCCTGTTATTATTCGAAATCAAATGAAACTAGAAATGCCTTCTTCCTTTCTTCAAAGAGTACAAGAAGCAATTTTTTAACTTCCTTTTAATAAATTTTATAACTAAAGACAAATTTTCATGAAAAAAATTGGAGAAAGAGAAAAAAGTGCATGGTTCTTGATCGATTTGCTTAATCAGCGTTTTGATAAATGGTACTCGACTGCAATTTTCTTAAATAACTAAAAATGATGTATTTTTATTTATGTGTGTATACTAAAGTATTTTTCTATTTATTTATTTATCTTTGCAGGCGGGTCAAAAGATTTTTAGATGTTTTTGGAACTAATGTGAATGTGGAACTACAACAACGGGCAATAGAATTTTCTTCGCTGTTTAGGAAGTTTAACCATTTAAGGTATTAGCCTAATCTATCTGTATCCCTTTTGCATGTTCATAACTTATTTTTGTACATTATAATATTTTTTCAATGTTTCGAACATGCTTTCCCTATTTCTTAGGAAAGATTTTTGAATTGAAAATTAATAAAGTTGAACCTTGAAAATCCGAACTGCTGAGGGTCATCCTGTGACTTGAATAAATAAATAATGCCCAATAAATAAATAATACATAACTCCAAAGATCAAGTCTATTTTATTGTTTCAGGACCTAATTGAATTAGAGTAGTTTAACCTTCGTGAGAAACAGGCTTGTGATTAATCTAAGAGCTATCGTAAAATAAATATTGAAGGTGATACATGATGTAGACACTGATAATAAAGTTAGCAAAATATCAGTAGACAAATGACTAGAGTAAAGGGATGACTTTAAAATTGCTGAAGAGTCAGACAGGGTTGGATGCCTGATGTATTTGAAATTTTCTGGAAATGTTTTTCATGGAAAACTACTAAAAAGATTAAAATCACTAAATTTTTGAGAAAAACACATCAAGATACACTTTTTCTGGAATGAGTAAACCACAACACTGGCCATTGTTTTGTGTTTTACTCTTTCCGCACAAACTAGTAAGACATAAATACTTACGATGGATCTTTGCCTGAAAGATCGTTCCAAAATCTTCTAAATAAGCCCATTTTCTTAGATTTTTATTGTCAAAATGTACTTGTGCTAACATTTAAACACAAAGGTATATATTTAAGTGAATACATACTAATGAGTAGTATTTAAAAATGATCAAGATATGTGTGGTGTACATTTAGCATGATCTTAAAATTGATCGAGTAGCAAGAAAAAGTGATTTTACACGTTTTTCAAGGCAGGGCTGCATATTGCCCGTTTTTAACAGTGAACAAGTATATAATTTACTTGAAAAGGCCTTCAGTATAGCCGAAGCAAAATCAACTCGAAGATCGATTGGTTTTTTATTCAACCTTTTATATAGTTAGGCCCTTGACTTAGAGACCCATACCTGAGTAATTGAATAGAGAAATAATAATGGGAATGTCAGAAAAGAAAAAAATTGAAAACAAAAACTTTATTTTTACCTTATATGATTATTTAAAGTTAAGACCCACTCCTGAGGTGAGCTGTAGTCCTTATCTAGAAGTACTGGGCAGATTAGGCAGAAGAAACTTGTTGCTATTTAGAGAAGTGATATAATTTTTATGATGAATCCCGTGAAATCACACCCAAGTGGATAGTACCGTAATTTATGGAAGAAATGCCGCACCTATCGTAAACGCCGCACTTGGGATAATAAGACTTAAAAGAAAAAAAATCATGATAAACGCCGCACAAGTTGTAAACGCCGCACCCATAATAACGATTAAGCGGCAAAAGTGAATATATTACATTAATTCCTTATAAATACTACTACTGTTTTAAATTTAAAATATAAATTAAAATTTATAAATGTATAATTATAATAAAATCAAATATGTAATTTGCTATTGTATATTTTGGACAAACTGCTCAGAACAACATGTTACAATCGGCTGTTGGTGCCTTCGTTAGGTAAAATATTTAAATAACTATATTTATATTACTTTAATATAAATGATTTTTTTACATTACAGTATAGGACCCAAAATTCGGCACTTACGGGACCGACGAAATTTCGGAATTTGCAGAATTTCGGATCTCTTCCGGAAATTCCAATATGACTCCCGTATATTATGATAATTCAATTACGCTGTTAATTTCAGAAAAACCAATAAATTTAGCTAAGTTTCAATTGTAGATTATGATGGAGGGAATTTAAAAACGTCCCATCTTTAGAATAGAAATTTCATTAATTAAAATAATAATCTATAAGATATAATCAAGAAGAAATAATCCGAAGGCTAAATAATTCAAGATGAAATAATCCGAAAAAGAAATAATCGTTTCTTCTTTAGAGCGAGATCATTGTTCTCGTCTTTTCTTTTACATAACATTTTGTTTTAACAAAAGACGCTCACCTCGGAAAATAAAAAGCTAGCAAGGAACTGCAAAAAAGAAGCAAACAACTAATAACGATAAAAATAAACAAGTTAACAAGAAAAAGTAACAGTTAATAAGCAATAAAAAGATAAATAAATCGAATTTAAAAAAAAAAAAGCAGCAAAAGGGATAGAATTCATTTTGTACACCAAGTGAGAAAGAAGTTTCAATGTCAAAAGGGTGTGGCTAATTTATGGTCTAACAGAAGAGGGAAATGGGGGAGGGGGACAAAACCAGTAAAGCACTTGTCAAGATTGATTCATCAGTTTCTCCCAACTTGCATTTCTTTATTTTGTTCATTGGAAATGCAGATGTTTTTACTTTTCAATTATGTTTTGTTTGATACAAATTTATTATTTTTTCTCATGTTTTTATTCTTAAAAGATAAAATATAGTTACTTACTTCAAGAGAAAAAAATTCCAAATAAGAAAATATGACTGATTTTTTCTTTCTCTTTACAAAAAAATTTCTTTTAAAAAAAAAAAAAAATTGTCGGATTAAATGCCGAATTACTACATATTTATATTTTATAAATATTTTTCTTAATTTTATTTATTTATTTTTTGGAAATATACCTCTTTTATTTAAATAAGAAGATATCAGTTTATAAATCGCGTCCATAACAACGATGCATCGGCAAAAATTAAATATACTAAATTAAAGCTTTACAAATATTACTAAAATTAAAATGTAAATTAAAGTATAAAATGTGTAGTCTAACAAAAGCAAGAATCTGTTATTAAACCCTTTGAACAAACTATATAATTAAACTAATATAATTTTACCTTTGAACAACTAATATAATTTTACAATCGGAAATCGCTGGTGGCGCCATCTCTAGGTTAAGAATTAAATAACTAACTTACATTGCAACATATTTACATTTTATTACTTAAGCACGCTTTTTAAAGTGGGTCGCATCCACTTAAAATTTAGGTTCACTCAAACCCTTCAAATTCGCTGCATTCAGAATCTGAATGAAACAATTGAAGCAATTCTTCATCCAATTCAGCAGCATCATTATCTTCCTCTGTCGGATCACTTTCTTCGATAGAACCACTCGGGATTATTTCCGCCTGCGAAAAACCTAACTTTATTGTGTCCGGAGAAATTGCTTTCCAAGCTTCGGAAACCCATCGAGCTACTTCTCCATATGAAGCTCTTTTCAAATTTCCGTTTTTAGTGTACGAGTGATCTTCGCCAGCCATCCATGCCTCCCAAAGCTTTCTCACGTGGCTTTTGAAACTTCTATTTACTGTTAAATCCAGCGGCTGGAGTATTTTTGTTAGCCCACCTGGTATAACAGCTAAAGAAGCTGAAGCTCTTTTTGCTTCATTTTTCACCGAGTCCAGCAAATGTGCACGCATCGAATCCATCACAAGAATGCCACTTGGCTGGAAAAATGACCCTTTTCTTTTACGCCAGACTTCATTAATCCAGTCAAGCATTATTTTCTCACACATCCAGCCCTTCTCGTTGCATTTTATTACGACGTCATTTGGGAAAATTTCTTTAGGCAACGTTTTCCGCTTGAAAATCAGCATCGGTTCACCATTAGCAGCACAGGCAAGTACACAAGTGAAGGATGTTTTCTCGTGGCCAGATGTAGCAATTGAAACGGTTTTAACACCGGTTTTATTTACTGTTCGGTTGGGCGGGCAATCGAACGTCAACGGAACTTCGTCCATATTGACGATTTGGCATTCCTTAATTCCTTTCTGAGCTCTTAAATCCTTCATATAATTCAAAAAGGATTCTTTTTTTTCTTTCCAGTCATCTGGAAGACTTTGGCCGATCGTCGTTTTACTTCGAACAGATAATTTCTTTCTTCTCATGAACCGATGGAACCAATTTGGATTGCCGTTAAAAGTGGAAATTCCCATGTTTGCAGATATCTTTTTGGCTTGTAGACGAATTTTAATGGTTGATACAGGGAGTCCTTTCTCGCGCTGTTCAAAAATCCATTTTTCTAGAACATCTTCTAGCTCAGGCCAGAGCACAGTTCCACGTCTTCTTGCCCGTTTCATTTTCGGCATGCTTTCTAGGCTTTCTTTTTCCGACCGCCATCGGCGAATGCATCTCTCATCTACTTCAAATTCCCGCGCTGCTGCACGATTTCCTGTACTTTCCGCTCGTTCAATAACTTGCAGTTTGAAAGCAGCTGTATAACTCTTATGTCCTATAGGAGGCATATTGTAATATGAAAAAATATTAGCAAATACTAAAAAGAAAACTTTCCGCAATTTAATTTCTCCACAAAGCACATTGTAACAAAGTGAGAAAAAATGTGAAACAGCTATCAACAGGGTGCGTAGCGTTTGTAAAAAGTACTTAAAGGTGCTTTTTTGGGGATTTCGTTTTTAAAAGCTTTTAAAGGTGCTTTTTTCAGTTGGCGTTTTTAAAAAGTGCTTTTTTTTCGAATAATTTTTTTCCCCCTTCAGTGATATCTGGTGGATCGCATGCATTTCACAAAAAATGGGGAGTTTGCTACGTAATCATTCACGCAGACTTCATGTCGTACCCACGTTATGACTTGCGCATACGCGCATACTTGAAACCGAAACCCGAGTGCTTCAATTCGGATAGAGAATGTCAGATCCTTATGAAATCTTTTTCTGTTTAATTTATTTTAATTTTGTTCTTGTTTATTTAATTTACTTCTAACACTTTTTTTGATGTAGGGGGTAAGGGTACTTTTGTTCTGAGTTCAGGGTCAAGTTGAATTCACTCAGTGATGTGGGAAAGTACTGATTGTTTCAATTTACGCCCGTTTCTTTTTGTGTTTTTTTTAACGCTAAAACTGTTTATAAAAAGTTTTTGTTTTTCAATAATATCATTGATTGAATATGAATTTTTTGAGTGCTTGAAAATTTTTGTAAAGTGCTTGAAAAGTTTTTAAAAAGTGCTTATTTTTGATTCAAAGATTTGGCTACGCACCCTGTATCAACCACGCGGTTTGGCGGGAACTAGATCGAGATCAACCCACTTTCTTTAAGGGGTGGTGGGTTATTGGTAGTGGCGCCATCTTTTGTCATAATTCGCAACTATTTTGATAAAAAAAATTTCTTTTCTTTGAAAAATGTAAAATGTATTTTTAAAATATCGTAAACGCCGCAATAAACGCCGCAATTAAAATTTTAAAACTTTTAAACTCGTAAACGTCGCGGCGTTTCTTCCATAAATTACGATACATCAG